CTGCATGAACATGTCCATGAAGTCATCGCTGTCAATCTTCAGAACCCTTTTTATTTTAGCAATTTAAAAAGTCAAGCAGGAATAGCCAAATCCTACAGTATGCCCAATATACTCACAGTAAACTAGAATTCGTCTCTTTGCTCACCAGCTTATGCGAATATATTGACATATTGGGAAAATAAATACAGTGGGTAAGTAGTAGAATGACAATCTCCAGTCTAAAGCATTCGAGGGTTTTTTAAAAACCATTATTTAACTCACAGTAAAACTCATTCTTTCATATGTGAGTAGCAATTTTTTTAGACTTGTATGCACAAACAAGGAAGTCGGATAATATTTAGGCAATTACCTGAATTGTGTCAATTTAAATTAATTTAAGGAGTTATACTGAATTTGTCATCTCTTCAAAGAAGATAAGCTTCTAGCAGAAAATGACATATAATTATAGCACTTCCTAACTTGACTGCTACTCACCAAGAATAAAAATAAATTATATAGCTTCACAGCATTATTCTTAAAATGCATCATGCATTCTTGAATCAACCCATATATTCAATTTCAAAAATCTACAATAATAAAAAAAAAGATCCAAAAAAACAAAGTATCTAATAAAATGTTTTCTCATGGACAATGAATTCTGTTTTGAAAGAGCAGATCTGGCTAACCTGATTCATATACTAGTCTCAAATGAACTAGATTACTACAATACGTTATCTAGGGCATTTCCAAAATACAGCAGTCAAATTCCATTATGCCAATGCAAATGAATGGTAACACTGCTGAGTTTATTTAAATTAAAATGCTATATACTAGTATCAATTTCTGAAATTTTGATATATTGGATGTTTTATTCAAGTCAATTATAGGAGGCAACAAACATGAAAACATCAAGACTTTTCAGTGAGATAAAAAAGATTTCCTACAAATTAAATCTCATTACAAAATATTCTATATTTCTCTGTTCACACAGACCTAATATTTCTAGGACTGCAATGACATAAAAGAATTAAATCTCTCCCAACTTGTTTAGCAGATCATTTAGTAAAAATCCATACTCTCCATAATTGACCAGTTATTGTAATTTTATATTAATTATTGTTTGAACAATAACTACTAAAACATAATTATGTCAAATCATTTTCCTATCAGTCTAGGTAGGAAAGCAAACAGTATCCCTTAACCTGGCAGAAAAACTGAAACCATGATTTTGATCTTGCTATACTGAAATCCAAAGAAATAGTCCCATTATTGGATACCACTTTCTTTTGTGCTTAAAAACTGTTGATCTATAGTTGCATAGTTGCTCGGAACTCTGATGTCCATCCTTCATCTAACAACATCAAATATCCAAGCACCCTTGTATGATCCAGTGGATGGAGAGTCCTTCATATCCTAGATTTTTCATGATGCTGGCTAAATCCCAGCCACTGGGAAATGTAATTACAAAGTTATATAAAATAAGGTTTGCTGAAGGTCAGTAAAGTGTTGCATTTCATTCCATTTTAATCCACTCACTATAATTTGTTTGGAACAAACACAGAATCCGTACCAACTGTTCACTACACACACTGATTTTCAGGGAGGAAATGTCTTTGTGAGAAGTTCTCAATGTTTTCTAGAAATACTAAGTGTCTAACAGATTGGCTTTCCTAAACAACAAGAGTGGTGCTTTGCTAGACCTATTTTTACTCCTTGCCATTCCTAATTGCAGCTAAATCTACTACGAAAGAACATTAACTTCTAATACACAAATGAACCAAAATATGTTGGTTTAATATAAATAAACATTTTTCAAATGTTTATTTATACTAAATGCATCCCACTTTACTCAAAACTTTATAATTTATTGAGGGGGAGGGGCGGAATTTACAATATCTTCCCAAATTAAATCAATGACTGCTGGAAATTTAGTATGAATACATTCAATAATGTTAACACTTTTGTAAGCTAGGAAGAAAGATGAATATTCATAAGAGCCTTTCAGACATACTAACAGCTATACTTTCTTCAGGAAGAAATTCACATGGGTGAATTGTTTTCCTGAACAGAAGCTTTACATCCTTAACTAAGAAGTTAATCCCTGCATATTATCCAGTATGTTCCCAGTTCTACATGGTTTTTAAGGTTAAGCCTCCTTAAAATCAAGCTCAACTACTAGTGACTTCATAGAACTGCAGTTTTCTTGGCAGCAATACAGAAGTAATTTGTCACTGTCTTCTTCTCGGAAGGTTTTTTTTCCCCCATCTTCTCAGCAGAGCCTATAGAGTAGTACTATAGTATCCTCTGAAAATCTCCTATTCAAGTATTAGCCAGGACTGACTTGGCTTAGGTGCTTATACCAAACAAGGTTAGCCAACTGCTGCCATCTGCTCTACTCATCTTATAGATGTGTAATTTTATACAGCATTATCTTAAAAAAGCTATTTCACCCATCCACAATTGGGAGGAAGAGAGGAGAGAAACCCTCATGGGGAAGTGTGGGGGGGAGAATGAAGGAGAAAAACCTGAAGGGATAGGACGCAAAGCTACTTGTGTGGCAGTAAAATGTTGTTTTTGTTCAGGCTGTTAAAAACTCCTCAGCCTGATATTGTATAAGGCTGAGGAGTTTTTAACAGCCTGAACAAAAACAACATTTTACTGCCACACAAGTAGCTTTTTCTAATTTAAAAAGAACGAACTTTTGGTTGATTTGTAAATAGGATTATTAATAAGGAAAAAAAATCCGTTTTAGAATGATCATAGGAATTAAATCTGTTTTTGTTTGAGTTACTCTACAAAGAGAACAGCTGATCTGCAGGGCCTACAAAAGATCTCTGATTTTTTTTTTTTTCATGATGACTGGGATTCTGTTTAAGTAATATACAAAGAGAATCTTATGCAGAACCTCACGCTCACCATACATAAGGAAAAAAGAGGTCACTGGAAGCAAAACAAGTTTGAAGTTTTTTGTTTTTTAAAGCCCTGCAGATAAGAAGAAAGGAACGAACCTTTCTTTGCTCAGCTCAGTATTATTCTAAAGACAGCATTTATTTTGACTCTCTTATTTGCTAGACTCTCTTATTTGCTACCTCTCCTGCTAGCTAGAGGTTTATTTCCAAACCTCTAGCTAACAAGGAAGCAGTGGGGTGTGGGTTTGCTCTTCTCTTTACAAATGGAGAAGGATATCCTATGCAATTTCCCATGCTATTAATAAAATGGCCTTTAATTTATGAACACAAATGTTTTGATCAGCCAAAAATATGACATAATGTAGGACTACATATAGAGAATTATCACATGCTGCAAAGTACTATTACTTTTAAATCAAGGAATCATACACTGCTCATGACAAGTATGCACACCATAGCAAATAAGCTATTTCAATCACTACAGAAGGAATCTGTGCATGAAATATATTGTGGCAGAAGTATTCCTACAAAAAGGAAGATTGAAAAACTGACAAATTGGAGGACAAACATGAAATGTGGTAGTATGTCCTGACAAGCTTCTTTTTTTATGTACATTAAACAGGCCTTCCTTGGAGACAGGAAAAGATTAAATATCTATCAGTGTTTCTTAAATCTCAAGAAAAATCTAAGTTTTGTAGAAGCATCTTAGTTCAAGATGTTGCAGGGTGTCTTTTTTTTTTTAATTACACATACATACTTGAATATGGAACATAATGCATTTTCTTTACTGTATTGTAGTAGGTAAACTGTGCTAATATCACTTGCAAAAATTTAAAAATGGACCAGGAATTATTTGAAAATTCTGCTTCGAAGTACTGGCTGTTAAAAGGATGTAGCCAGAAGTAAAAACTCATTATGGCTTTTTATCATCAAGAATGAAAGAACTGGAAACAGAGAAGAGATCCCCAGATCTGTGGAATTATATCTGCCTATTAAGTTTTTGAGCTTCCTTAAATCTCTCCTATCTCCAAAAGTTCCATTTTTTACCCCAAGTGAATATTGTTAAAGAACCACTAAAGCCTCTATTTAAACTCTCAGTAACTTGAACGTGGTCAAATAAATCTAAGCCCCCTAAATCTAATGGCTAATGTCCTTAACTCATCTCCAGGATTATTTATTTAGGGGGTGTTCAAGATGATGATGATGATAATGACAATGATTTTTTTTTATATTCCACCTTTCATTCAGAATTTGACAGCAGAATACAGTAGTGGCCAAAGTTGTGGAAATCTTTTGGGGAAAGTGTATTTTCTAACTAGCTAATAACACTTTTTTTTGGAGTAGTACCTAAAATTATATATCAATGGAAAGATAATTTAATCAAGAATGTAATGCAATAACTTTTATAAAGGATTTGCTATTAGAATAGCAGTTACAGTATAAAGAAAAAAAGTGAAACACAGAAAAACGAGATATAAAAAAATTATCACTATGTCAGTTAATTCTTAGTTGGGTAACCTTTAGCATGAATGACGGCCTTACAACATCTTCCCATGGAGTGAACCAAGTCTTTTAGTTCTGCAGCTGTTCTAATGTGAAACCAAGATTGAATGATTGCTTCTATTAACTGGGTTTTATCGCTGGGTTGCTTCTGATTAACAAAAGTTTCTTTAGTCAGCTCCATAGATTTTCAATTGGGTTAAGATCTGGGCTGTTCCCAGGCCATTCCAGCAGTGGAATATGATCATCTTGAAACTCCAAAAAAAAAAAAAAGTGGTGTTATTAGCCATCAAACCTCAAATATACACTTTTCCCAAAAGGTTTCCACAATTTTGACCACTACTGTATATAGCACTTCCATTTACCCCACAACTCTGTAGCTAGGTTGGGCCGAGAGATACAGAGTGCCCCAAATTTATCCAATGAGATTTTATAGCTCAGGATAGACTAGAATCAGAGTCTCCACCCAGCTTATTCAACACTTTAACCACTACACCAAACTAGCAATGAGAACTGAAGAGAACAATGATCTATCTTGAAATAAATACCACTTACTAATTTAATAATTAATACTATTATTATGCATGAAGTAGGGAATGGGTAATTTGTTACCTCAACAATATCCGAGTTAGTTCTGCTCTCATGGGGTTCATTGTATTCTGTGTATTTGAGAAGAACTTTGTCCATATCAGTGCTGGCGTATTGAAACAGCTTGTTAGAACTGTTGAAAATTATGAGTGCTATTTCACAGTCGCAAAGCACGCTTAGTTCATAGGCTTTCTTCATTAATCCAAACTTTCTTTTCGTGAAGGTCACCTAAACACAAAAGGGGAGAAGAAATATTTCACCTGGAGGTATTTAATGGCAAAGGTCTGAATGTTTCCAGAACAGCTGGGCCCATCAGACTTTTGAGGTTAATTTTTTATGTTAACAGAGCACCTTTACAAGTTATCACAAATTGCATTTTGGCATCTATATTTCAAAAATATACAATTCTTATATTGTATAGTCTTGATATTCCTGAAAAATATGAACAAACTGTCTTTTAGCATATGTGTATATATGTATGCATGTAAGTATGTATGTATGTATGCATATATATAGGTACATATCAAGGGCAGGTTTCAAAACCCATCGCTACCGGTTTGCTCATGGGCAAGCGCATGCAATGCTTCTGCACATGCACAGAAGCATCTGTGCGGAGGCTCCCACTACTGCTATACATACATACATACATACATACATATATACTTTTGAAAGCAGGCGTCAGAATTTCATTTTTTAATGTGTACCAGTGTGTTCACAGAAAAAAGTGACAATAAAGGTTATTTTATCTTTACCCAGATAGTTTATTCTATATATCTATTATTTTTATCAACAGAATCTGATTAAAATAAAAAAACAGAAATAACTGAATACACATAGACATGAAGTCAACCATGTACTTAAGATATTCTTCCAAAAAAATAGACCATAAAACATTATTAGGCAAAATGTCCTTCAGAAGTTGTGGGTGCTGCATCACTGGAGATTTTTTAGAAGAGTTTGGACAACCATTTGTTCTGAAATGGTATAGGGTTTCCTGCTTGAGCAGCAGATTGGACTAGAAAACTTCCAAAGTCTCTTGCAACTTGTTGTTCTCACCATCATCCAATGTTAATTTGTGCTGCCCTCTGGAAGAAATACTAATCACATAATTCGAAGCATATTCTCTAAATGGGAAGGATCTACTTGACCTCTGCAAATATTTTTGATTCCTCCAGTATTTTCTGCTGTGTTTCCCATGCCAAGAAGCTTATTTTATTTTTTTTGGGGGGGAGGGGGGGTTGGTTAACATATAATCAGCTAAACATATTAAACTGAAACAATTACTTATAAAAAAAACATTGAAAACATATATGCACGAAACAGCACAGAAAGACTGTACTGGTACACAAAGGCTAGGAAGAAAGCATCTGACTTTCTATGTCTTCCATCTCACTAAGAGTAGTCCAGCAAATTAAAACACATGTAAATAATGGAACAATTAGTTGCAGACTAGATCTGCAAAATCAGTTTGAACTGGGAATATCACACTTGGCTTCAAGCAATGACTTCAACAGATTTTAGGTTACCCTAAGTAAAATTGCACAATTAGCTGTGCAACTCCAAGGCTATATAATGCAGTGTATTTGAGAAGAAAAACCACAGCATTTCCTTCTTACTCGTCATATTTGATTTATAAAAAAAACAGGAACAATATGGCTCAGTACTTTAAAGCAAAGAAGCTGCTCCATCTGTTTTTGGAAGGATGCCCATTATCTAACAGTGACAGATTGCTTTAATGAACAGTACAGTTACAGAATAACAGTTCACTTAGTGACCATTCAAACTTACAACAGCACTAAAAAAAGTGACTTATGACCGTTTTTCATACTTACAACCGTTGCAGCATGTTGTTGATCATGTGATTAAAATTCGGATGTTTGGCAATGGGTTCATATTTATATACTCACATTACATTCATATTATGACAGTTGCCATGTTCTGGTGTCATGTGATCTCCTTTTGCGACCTTTTGCGACATTGACAAGCAAAGTCAATGGACAAGCCAGATTCACTTAACAATATGCACCAAGACAAATTCCTTGTGTGTCCAATCACACTTGGCCAATAAAGAATTCTATTCTGTTCTGTTCTGTTCTGTTCTGTTCTGTTATTAATTTAACATTTGCAGTGATTTATTGTGACAATAAAGGTCGCAGAGTGAGGCAAAACTCACTTAGCAGCAGAAATTTGGGGCTCCATTGTGGTCATAAGTCGAGGACCAATTGTAATCATTATTAAATGCTACTCTAGTGTAAAAGTGTGTACATGGGATTGCTCCAGGGACAGGTAAAGCTTGGCAGTCCCCATAGGGCTACAGAATATTTAATGCAAGAATATGAGTTTCAAAATGATAAAGCAATTCTTCATGTAAAGCCATCCATTTGCTCATTCTTACTTCCTTCTGGGATACTGGCCAAACATGTGTAATAAGTGGGATCAAGAGTCAAATAAAGCACACAGATATACACATATCTGGCAGTTGTCCCAAAAATGAGTTCACACAGCTCTGTCAGGAAAACATTCCTAGAGGAGATTATTTTGCTGCAAATTGCACCAGATAGGAAGTCTCGTCTACCAAATACTTTACCTAGTAAAAGCTAATTTAAGGACATAGTTAAAGCATTAGTCTCAATGTCCTGTTGGTGAATTCATCTGTATAATTTAAGATCATAGAAATGAGCTCCAAAATGGACGGATAGTTGGATGGATAGAGTATGCGCCAGATAGAATTTCTGCCAGCAGCCTGCAGGGTTTCTTTAGTATCTTATTCAAGTTCCCAATTATGGGTTTTCTTTTGAGCCAATCAGTCAAAATCCCATCTCCAACTACTTGACTTTTAAACTAAAAAGGCAGCAGCCAATTCAGCACAATTGTGCTTGGTTGGTTGCTTGTTTCCAATCTACCATCTTTCTGATAAAAGCTGCCTTCCTCAAATTACTTTTTAACCTACAAAAGAAAAGATACTGGGATCCTTGTAATTTCTCAATGTAAGCAGGAAAGGGCTAGGATGAGAAATTAGCCTTTGCAAAACTGAACAAGTCACCAAGCAAAAGGATTCTAAGCATCTCAAATTGCTGCTTTTCAGGGACATTTAATTGTTCATACATCTCCCATATAAACCAAAGTCTAAACGAACTCAGTATACTTAAGAGGTTTACATGTTCACAATGTATCTGTTCCAATAGCCATTTTCTTGCTTGCTTCTCAGAAACATTACAAAAATGTCACCAGAGTTTTAATGTCCAAATATTGTTCAGAGATGTAGAATTATAGTATTTTTATAGTGTACAGACCTTCCTCCAAGTAGCTCAGGTGATTGTGCACAGAGCCTCTGCTTCCAGTTTACCTTCCCGAAAGCCACACTGAGGCAACTGTATTGTGTCATAACTGATTGGTTGATTATTTACTTAACTGTAGCCAGATACAGAAGTAACTCCTTGAAATGCTACATAATGACAAGAAAGTACATTTCTCAGATTGAAACTGTTATTCCTTTGTGTTTTAGCAGACTGAAACTTTTTTAACAGATTGAAAACTCCCCAGGACTTTTTATGCTTTACTTTTTTTTTAACCAAACAAACTTAAAATATAGTTTTCCGCAGTCATTTATATCTGATCCAGTTAAAAATGGAACTAAAAAAGACTTACATTAAGATAAACCTGTCTATGAGAAACATATACAAATACCTAGAGGCAATTTTGATTTGGAGCTTTAAGGGTAAAAGATAGAAATGATGATAAAATGTGATTACTGGCAATCTTTTATTAGTAATTGTAAGATAAAACAAGACTCATTGTTCTAGTAACAGGGTCAGGATTAGGAGACAAAGAGGACAGGAAAGGGAGTAACAACAATAAACAAAACTGGGATAATTTGCAAGGATGGCCAAGAAGTCAGAGCATTCTGTTCATGCTGTCCGGTGATTAATTTAATTCTAAAACATGTCCCTGCACATCACATTGGACTAATCTGTACATTTAGATCACCAAACTTTCCAACTTAATTGTAAGCATGGTCAGTGCAAACTCTATTGCAATGAAAACAGATGAAATCTTCACAGTAGGAAAAAAACAAAGGTTTAAAAACAGATTGCAACACCTTTAGAAATGTTACAATACCTGTTTTCAAATATTATGAGGCTAATAAAAGTTTTTTGGTCCACTATAGAAACTGATAGTGATCTCTAATTCTCACCTTCAGAAAAGTGATCACTCAATTTTCAATTCCTGGAAATTCCCACTGGATCTAAAATCTATCTCTAGAGAGCTGAAATGCCACGTGTATCGTGTTTCCCCGAAAATAAGACCCTGTGTTATATTTTTTTGAACCCTGAAATAAGTGCTTGGCCTTATTGCCATGTGCTCAAAAGCCTGATTGGGCTGATTATCAGGGGATGTCTTATTTTGAGGGAAACAGGGTATTAACCTTAATTAAAAGACTTTATTAAGAGGTCTACAAACCAAAGTAAATATTAAATTAATCAATCCTAACTAATAGGGGCAATGCATCTTTCTCTCAATACCTCTCTACATATAGTCGGGGGGGGTGCAGAAATTGTACACATACTGAGAAAATACATTTATTCAATTTAAGGACTGTGAATTGCACAAGTCTTTGAAGGAATATCATTCAATACCTAGACAGACTAATGTATGAAGAGTGAAAAGTGAAATCTTAATAAAGCGAAGTATATGATCTGAAAATTTTCACTGAGATTTGGTGGTTTAATACTCAGGATTGGAAATATTTCAACTGAAATACTCATCTTATTTAAAAAGGCGAATAGCCAGCATAAAGACAGTAGGTTAATATGGAATTAAGAAAGTGGGTTAATATTATATATAAATAATATACACATCACTGAAATTCTTGAAGCAGACTAGAAGCCTTTTAAAAATATCTGAGAAAGAACAAGACAACAGGGTTTCTATTACAGTATAAATTCATCATAGTCTGTAATGAAAGAGAAATGAAAGAGAGATTGTTGCACAATTCATCATACCTTTCTACCCAATCAAATCTTTTTCCACACATGACCAGAAATATTCTTGGATATACATTGGAATAGAAATGGAAGATTTCAATTGTTGGAACCAGTTAAAAGTCAAGTACTACAAATGAAAAATCAACAATTTTTTTTATTTTCTCTTTTATAGTTCCATCCCACAGAAAGTGCTATCTGTAACACGCAACTCCTAATTTCCCAACTGGCAACTGTGGCCATTAG